AGGTGCTGTTGGTGTTCGTGGGGCAACACGTGCTGGGATGTGATGAGGGAGAGTGTGAATCCGTGATGCATGTGCCCATGTGCAACCTCTTACAGCGCCTGGCTGCGATTCCCCTGCTGTAACTTAAAGCGTTGCTAGTCGTATGTGTATTTTGCAGCAAAGTCGCTGTTTGTTTAGTGGGGAAACATGTTACAGGTTGTGTTTTACCAACTAAAGCTGCAGCTGGAGGCTCGTGATTATTGAGACTTGCTCGGTGTCTTTTTCTTCCCATCATTTTCCTTCTAATGGTAAAGAGCCCCTTGCAGCTTCAGCCTTAACTACACGCTGGCCTCTGCCTTGCCCACTTAACGCCCTGGTTGTAGGAGAACACTGGCTTGAACTGCGGGTTTTCAGATGTGTGCCGATGGTGTTTCTCATAGTGCTTAGGCTTGTTTTGTTTTGTGGCTGCTGAAAACACAGCTGTCCTGGCAAGCCTGATCAGCCTCCAAATTACTTTTAGAGATCAGCCTGTCAAGAACTTCTTGTGATGGTGACAGAAGGGAGTTTCTGGAGGACTCCCCTGGAGCCTCCTCCCTCCTCTTGCTTAAGTCATTTGGTGGCTTTTCTGCAAGGCTGCTGGAGCTTTACCCAAGGCAGGTAAAGCAGCTGCCTGGAGGACGCGAAGAACAGCTCTTGTCCCCTCCTGGGAACTAGCTGCTGATGGGAGACAGCTCAGGGAGAAACTGGAGATGTGCTGGGCTTGAACCTCCCTTCTTCACAGCGGATGGCAGTTGCACTAATGACCAAAAGTCCTTGCTCCAGCCCTAACCATGTTGCAGTCCTCTGTGAAAACCTGAGCAGCTCCTAACCAAGTTGGTGCAACAAGACATCTGTAAGTTGACCTTGCTGTGGCTGTGCGTGGTTCCTAACGGGTACGGGTGGTCCCGTACTGTAATGGGAACTCCTGGGGTGAAGGGGAGGAGAAACATCTGCGATGCCAGAGAGGGGAGTGGGAAGGAAAGGAGGACAAGTACGATGGGGCTTGTTGGGAGGGATGGAACCAGTGTTTCAGTGGCTCCAGCGAGGACAGTCAACCGTGGGTGACCTGCCTGGTGCAAGTAGGCTTTGGAGCTTCCCTGCTTGTAACTGAGGTCTTGAAAGCACACAAGTATGATGGTGGCAGGCCTGATGAGCTCCTCTGTGAGCTGTTTTACTGGGGTTTATTTAGACTTTGGGGTTAGGGACGCTTGCCTTGGCTTGGGTTTGGTGGTGGGAGGTTCTGCATCCACCCGTCTCAACACAGCTCCAGGAGGAGCAGTTACTCTTGTTTCAGCTGATAGTGTCGGGGTGCTGGAAACTCACGGCTAACCTGTTCTCTGACCCTGTGCTCCCCTCCCATGGGCCTTTGTGGGCACGGGTGGGTACCACACCAAGTGTGTTGCTTGTCTGGGGAGCTGCTCTAGCTGAAAAACAGCCTAGCAAAAAAGAAAAGGGAGTTCAGAGCTCGAGCGTGGCATGGGTCATGCAATAGCGAAGCCTTCTCCGGCCAGCAGGATCTGATCCGGTGGCTGAAGAAATGCTGCTTATTTCCTGGTAAAAGCATATTGTGTTCTCCGTGTCTTTTGTTAGCTGCAGGGAGACCAGGGTGGTTGTCTGTCACATGAGTGTGCAGGCTGGACTTTGAGAAAGCATGCCACGTTCAGAAAAAAAACAAAGGCAAATTATATCTGAGCTTGTTTGTACAGTGGTATGTCAAATCAGTGACCCTTTGCAAGAATATGCAGAACTAGAGACCTGACTCTGGTTAGTAAAACAATTCTAGATAGAAAACAGCCCTCGACTATTCCTGTGCTTCTGGCGGCAGGAGGGCTGGGTGCTCTCCCCCAAACAGCATCCATAAAGGCGGTGTTGGTCCTCAAACAGCAGGTAACCTGATGAACCTGAAACCGTGACTTTTGGTGTTGCTTCTTATGCTCAAGCTGAAACCAGGAGTACCAGGACGCTTGCGGTTGTCAGTGCACTCTTTGCCTTATGCAATGAGGATTAATCTAAGTAGGTGGAGAAGTATTTCTTGGCTGATTAACGACAGGGGTGTGAGACTTCTGGAGGAACTTGCTGGCTTCAGATAGGTGGCAGGAGCTGGGGGGGGTAAGGACTGCATAGCTCAGAGCAAATTATCGTCGTTCACACCATGATAAACTTATCCTGGATGAAACAGAGCTGAACCTGTTTTCAGCTCTGTGCCTCTTGCATTGCAGCAGCCACACAGGAGATCTTGGTTTTGGTCACTCCTTGGGCTGTTTGTCCTGTTTGTGTCCACAGCTTTAAGGAGAGGTGCAAGCTGTGGACCCGGCTGTGCTGGTGGTGATGCAAACTGCAGCGTGCGTGGGTTAGGTGGGTACAACATACACTTACCGCCCGCTCTGGGGTACGGTATGAGCTTTTGAACCCCTCTGGAGTGGCTCAGATGATTGATGGAAAAACAAAAATTGATATTTATCCGTTCTCATGTGAAAGCAACTGGATCCTCAGTGAGGGTGGAGATACTCAGGGTTAGTTCCCAACAGCACAGCGCCGCGCGCTTCGGTCCTGCACGTGCCAGCCTGATAGTTTATTGCTTTACAGGAGCACTTATCCCTGATTACCTTTCTGACGAAATGGCACTGCTGCGTGCTTAAATTATACCGGCTGCTTCGAAGGCATCCCAGCGAGAGACTGGGATGAGATCGAGATCTCCTGGGGTCAGTTCTGGAGTCTGAAGCAATGCCTTCAAGTTAAAACTAGCAGAGCAAAAGAAAAAAAAAAAAACCAAAAAAAACCCAACATAGCCCAGCTGGATGCAACCAGCTCGGCAGCGGTGGGTGGTGCTGAGTCACGCTGATGGTGGAGCGCTGCCGGGAGTTCCTCCAGGGCATCGCGAAATCCAGCCCCTCCTGACGAGCATCCGTGGGACGGGAAGGTGCAGGGACCTGTGGAGGGGTTGCAAGACCCTTACGCTCACTCAGCGAGGGTTGAGAGGTGGATTTAAAACCTGTTTTTAAATTCCAAGATAATTCAGGGCTGTTGCTGCCTTTACAGGAGGATTTTTCTGCGCCTTTGGGTTTATTTCCAGCGCTGTTCATAGGTTACAATGCATTTAGTGCTCTGAAACGGGAAGCTTTGCTTGAGGCTGCCAGATTCCCTGTTGCAGGGTGATGCCTTGTCAGGACCACCAGCTGGTGCTTAAGTCTGAAATGCAGCTAGCTGCTGAACTAAGTCACTTTGCAAATGTAATTCCTGTGCCGTTTTTTTAGAATATTTACTACAAATGCAATAATTTGGTTTAGCCTCTCATACTGCTTTGCTGCTTTCATAGCTTGGTTTTATTATACTGGGTTAAAGTCTTGAATTCAGCTCTCATCTCTTCCTTGGTCTCAGAAAGTGTAAGTGAAAGTGCTCTGCAGTTTCCAGTAACTAGAGTGGTTTGCAGAATCAAAGGTCCAAACCTGAAGCATTTTAATTGGCTTAATCTTGCCTGAAAGCTTAGCTGTAGTATTGCTTCCTGGCTAGTTAAGTGAATCGATAAGCTCGAAGGGCCGTGTCCCGCTGAGGAAGCATGGGGGTGGCATGGGCAATCCTTGCTTTTCCAAGGGCTGGTGCATCTCTGCCGAGGACGGAGCCATTCGTGTTGCTTTGCCTGCCAGGGCAGCGCTGGTGTCTGCGTGCTGCCAAATCGTTTGGGGGAATATTCTGAAGATGGGGTGTCCCAGCTCACGGGGTGGAAAGCATCCTTCCTGTCAACCCCGAATGACCTCTTAATTGCACTTCTCAAGCTTCTCCTTAAAAGAGCATTAATTTGATGGAGCCTGTTGCAGGTTGCTAAACACTCATTTCCCGTGGCCATGCCCTTTCCCAGGAGCCTTCTGTGTTTGTTGTTTCGAGGCACGAGGCTGCCACCAAAGGCTTCAGACCGGTTTTGGTGTGGTGGGGTGTATCGGCCGTGTTGCAGATTTGCAGGAATAGCAGAGCCCTTTGCATCTCGATGCTCTAGATTTGCTTGGTCCTGCTGGGACGCTTGTAGAGGTTTAAGCCCTGCCAGTGTCTGTCCCGTCGCTGGTGGGAGGTGGCTGGGGTCTGTGTCCTGCAAACACCCGTCGCAGGTTGGCATCGTCATTGCAAGGGCTTGGAGCGTTGCTGGTGTGTGATGGCATCAGTCTGCAGAAGCCTGAAACAGAAGTAATTTTTCCCACGGTGCATAATTAAGTGATGGCAGTGAGTTTAATAGGATGCTTTGGATGCCAGAAGCTGAGCTGGCTTCAGAAATCTGTGGAAGAAAAGCCCATCGAGGACTGTTGATCAAAGGTGCAGATGAAACCTCCTGGCTCAGGCAGTTGGTGGCTGCAGGGCACCAGGAGCTGGGAGGGGAGATGGGGCGAAGGACGGCTCCGTGCTCTCCAGGCTGCTGGGGGACATGGTCACCCCTGGGTCTTCCTTGGGTCGCTGAGCGGGAGAACGGGGTGGCCTTTACCTGACTCTCCTTCTACGGGGGGGGTCACTGCGGGTACCCCATTTTCTCAGCTTGCCCTTCTAGGAAACTTGTTTCCCAATCGAGCGGGCTAACTCTGCATGCCAAGTGTCAAAAGCAGCTGAGCAACTGCAGGAGAAACAAGCTGGGGCAGAGAGCCGGGAGTGTTGTAAGCAAGAGGCAATTAAAGACCTAACTGTATTTCTTCACCGAGTCTTTTGAACAACTGCGCTAGCTTAATTCCCTGTACTTCCCGTGCATAAACAAGAGCAGAGGTTACACTTCCCTTGTCTGAGCAGCCTCCTAACGCTTTGGTGTTGCAATGGGAGCGTGGAGTTAATCTCGCTGGTCTGGCAGGCGAAGCCTGGATAAATAGTGCCGTGGCCCTGGCGTGGGTGCAACTGGGGAATAAATAAATTATTGACCCCTCTTGGAAGTCTTGTAGCTCTTTATGGCTTGTGCTTGTTGCATTGAAGACGGGTAACTGAGGCTTCTCCCTTTGTGTGCTTTGTTGCAGACAAGGATGCAGAGCTTGCAGCCGGACCCCAAAGCCCAGTACAGGAGCGTGTACGAAGCTCTGAAGAAGATTGTCCTTACAGAGGGTTTCTGGAGACCTTTACGTGGGATTAATGTCACTATGCTGGGGGCTGGCCCTGCCCACGCAATGTACTTTGCCTGCTATGAAAAAATGAAAAAGTCTCTAAGTGATACTATCCAGCATGGAGGAAACAGCCACTTGGCCAATGGTATTTTTGGGGGTTTTTTTGCACAAAAAAAAAAGCGTGCAGTTAACAGCCTGTCCCTTGCTTGCTTCACACACTTAGCCTGGCATCCTTCACTGTGCTCTGCTCCTGGAAGATCTGCTGTAGGCAGCCTGCAATCAGGCTGACACCGTAAATACCCATACGGGAGGATGCAAGATGCAAACGTGACCCCAGGCTCGCAGGTCTTGCACCCGCTTTGGGAGTGCTGGGGAAGCAGGGGGAAGTCAGGTAGGCAAGTGTGGCACCTGCCCCCTGAGTGCTTCGTGCTGGTCACCATGCTCCTCTGAAACCTGTGCCCTGTCTTAGGACGACTGGCTGCTTGGTAGATCTCTCTTCCAGAGGGTAGAGATGGCTGGGCTGGCTGTCAGCAGCAGGGTCAGCCCTTCCTGGCCTGAAACCCCTGATGGCACTGTTGTGCACCCTCCAAAGTCTTAGTCTAACCTAGATTTCTGCTCTACTCTCTCATCTCGAATTATTCTAGCACAAGTAGTCAATGCATTGGACAAGAGGTGTTCAGATGCAGTCGCAGGCTGTTTCTGGCTTTATGTTGAAGGCATCATCTAAACCTCTTGAGGTCTGAAGTACAGGTTGTTCCAGAGGTCTCCCTTGGAGCTCCAGCATGGTAAAGTGCCCTGCATCCTCTGTGCATTCGCATGCTTTGTTTAAGGTTTTGCTTCTACAGGAAGGCTTTCGCTTTTAGGTCCGGCAGTACCGCTGTAACAGCAAAAACCCTCTAATTGAGCAGCCAGGGCTGTTACAAAAGGGTTTGTGCAGAAGACATTTCTGCCTGGTCCTTGACATGATGTGACGGTAGGAATCTGCCAGGGCAGTCACTTGACTTGACTCAACCAACTCAGTTAAGGGTATATAATATTTTTCTGGCTTGCTGCTTTTTGCTACTAATGTGCTTCTTGTGTTTGCCTTTCAAGTAGCTACAGGCTTTCAGTACCAGCAGGAAAACTGAAGCACTGTGTTAATGAGAAATGACCGAAAGTCATTTGGGCAAGAGAGAATTTGAGATGGAAACCTACATCAAAGGAGAAGGTGTGGCTCGAGAGGCCCATCCTAGAGCCAACTGCAGAATTATTAATGGCTGGCTGGATGTTTGCAGAATCTGTGCAATTAGTGTTTAAAACAAGACTGAGTAAACAGATGAAAATGCCTAATTAGGGATACGCTGAGCCAGTTCTAAACATTGCTCACTTCTCAGTCCAGCGCAGGCTGAGTGAAGCCGGTGGTGTCTTGCACAGGCAAAGCCTTGCAAGTTGTAGGCAATAGCAAAGGTGACGGCTGTGATCCTGTGAGCGGATCCTGGTTTCTGTCAGGCTGCTCGGGCTGGGCTTTTCTCCGCTGGGAATGAGTTAGAATCATAGAATCATTAAGGTTGGAAGAGACCTCTAAGATCGAGTCCAACCATCAACCCAACACGCCCATGCCCTCTAAACCATGTCCCTAAGCGCCTCATCTGCACGTCTTTGAAATACCTCCAGGGATGGGGACCCCACCTCTTCCCTGGGCAGCCTGTTCCAAGGCTTGACGACCCTTTTGTTGAAGACATTTTTCCTAATATTGAATTTAAGCCTCCCCTGGCACAGCTTGAGGCCGTTTCCTCTTGTCCTATGGCTAGTTACTTGGGAGGAGAGACTGACCCCCCCCTCGCTCCAACCTCCTTTCAGGTAGCTGTAGGGCGCGATGAGGTCTCCCCTCAGCCTCCTCTTCTCCAGGCTGAACAGCCCCAGCTCCCTCAGCCGCTCCTCATCAGACTTGTGCTCCAAGCTGTGTTGCTGGGTGCTTCCTCGGGCTTGCTGTGTTGCTGGACCGCAGCTCCCCCGGCAGCGGTCCCCGGGTGCTTGGTGGGGTGTGGGCTGCTGCCTCTGCGGATGGCAGTGCCCGAGCAAGCCCCTGGCTTCTGAATCTTTTTTTTTTGAAGGATGCTCTTGTGTCTTGCAGGTATAGCTGGGAGCGTGGCCACGCTACTCCACGACGCAGTGATGAATCCCGCTGAAGGTAATGCCCTGTGCCGCACCCCATTAGCCTGGGACACCGAGCACACCCTGCGCCATCTCAGCAGCTTAAGCCCTTTGCTTTAGTGACTCTGCCCAGCTCTTAGTGAGCTCAGACAGGCCACTGTAAAGGGATAAATTCTGCCTAGCTGAATTTACCTTGCTTGCCAAGGGGTTGCACAGCATCTGCGTGGCGTATCGTGACTTTCCAGGAAAACTGGTGTCACCTTTACTAACACGATGCTGTTACTACTCTGCCAGTGAGTCTTTACTGAAGTGGTGGTGGTTTTTCTGAAGCTTTGGACCACCCAAACAAAACTGAGCTCAGCCATGTTGTTAGACAAATGCAGCAGCCAGTGGGACTGTTGCATTCCCGGCTAGGTAGAGTCTGGCATTAAAAGGACTAACAGCAAAGTGCAGCTAAAATGAAGACAATTAGCTGGACTGCCAGCCCTTCAGTGTTAATGTATTGTACTTCTGAGTTGGCTCAAAGTCAGGTTTTTCTGAAGGAAAAAATGTCTCTAGTGTTTAAAATCCTTTTAATCATATCCTGATTAAGTGAATTAAATTAATTGGCCTTTTGCTTAAGTCAATGCAAGTTGTTCCGTTTCAGGACTTGGGACCATAGGTGAGGTCTGTTACACTTCCAGGTGACGTACAGTTATTTAATCGCCTTTCTGCCCTTGTCCTCTTGGTATGTCAGTGTTTCCGCACAACAGCTCTGCATCCTCACAGATGCATCTGAGGGTCCTTACCAGTCTGCATTAATGCCTTTCTAGCTAGAAGTAAAAGTTCCCTAATTAAGCTTGAGGAGAGGAGTGGATTAGCCCCTGGAAGTGCAGAGCTGTTGAACCAGGGCTGAGCTCTGACCTGCTTCCCTCACTTGTTGCATTGAGGTTTTTTGGGGTGCACTGGGCAGGTTGGGGGAAAGCAGAGGACGTGTGCAGCCTTTTGGTAAAAGCCTGTCGATAAGGAGCTCATCGCTACAGAAATGCCTGGTTTATGTCCTAGCAGTTTGGATTTGGAAGGGCAAGTTGGGTCTGGATGGTTGGGACTTGGAGCAGGTGTTGTGGTGACCAGGAAAGATGTGCCTTAGCTAATAAGTCTTTATCTCCCTGCATCTGTCCTGCCCGGGGCTGTCCGCCCTGCCTTTACCCCCTGCGGCCGTCGCCTGGACCAGTGGTGAAGCAACGGATGCAGATGTTCAACTCGCCCTACAAGTCCGTCCTGGCATGCATAAGGACAGTGCAGAAGACGGAGGGGTTCGGTGCCTTCTACCGCAGCTACACCACCCAGCTCACCATGAACGTCCCCTTCCAGGCCATTCACTTCATCACCTACGAATTCATGCAGGAGCAGATCAACCCACACCGGGGGTACAACCCTCGGTCCCACATCGTCTCCGGTGCCATCGCGGGGGCTGTAGCTGCTGCTGCCACCACTCCTCTGGATGTCTGCAAGACCCTGCTCAACACCCAGGAGAACATAGCCTTGAGCTCTGTGAACATCAGCGGACACCTCTCAGGCATGGTGAACGCCTTCAAGACCGTCTATCAGCTGGGGGGCATTTCGGGGTATTTCAGAGGGGTGCAGGCACGCATCATTTACCAGATGCCTTCAACAGCCATCTCCTGGTCCGTGTATGAATTCTTCAAGTACTTTCTCACAAAGCACAAGCTGGAAAAAAGAACATCCTTGTGAAGGACTTAGCGAGAGTGAATGCGAGCCTCCGTGTGCCCTCCGTGCGTGTCTGTGTGCCTGCAAGCCAGCAAGCTCTGGCTCTCTGCTAAGGAACGTGCCGGGTTTCTGGTGGAGTCACAGCTGACGTCCACTTCTCCCTCCCCAGGGAAGGAGGGATTAAAGTGGTCCTCAGTGTCCCCCTCCTTGCTTAAACAGTGAAATAGTTTATAAAGACTTATAATAATATATATATTTAATAACTTT